GACCTGCCTTTAGAGTGACCTTCTCAACCCAGTGTGATCCAGCTCACGGGGCATGTGCTGGCTACCTCAGGACACCCCCAAATTAGCTTTCGCGACTGCTTCCTCAATGTTTGATTTCAACAGCAGGAGTCAACAGAGTCTAACATCATTCTGTACTTGTACATCATTGTGCCAGTTGCACGGCAGGAGGAAAAAAATATGGTTCAGCTCAGCAATGGTATTAGGGAGAGTAACTGCTACTGCTAGTAAAGGAGATGGGGACCGCGGGAAGAATTATGCAACCTAAAGGAATTTTCAGATCTGCATTTTTTTGCTGATATATTTCAGGCAACTAGTTTCATACATTAATCTACAAGCCTTTATTTTGAGTTTCATAGATTTGTCTTGATTTGCTTTGTGTTTTCATTGACATTTAATTGCCCAGGGAACTGCTGCTGAAGCTGGGCTTATTTGTATTTAGTATTGATATAATGCCATCCCAGTAAATGTAAATGGCACGGCAGAGATGAGTTAAAACAGCAGGTCTGTGCTCTAAAAAGCTCAAAAATATCAAGCTAGCTCCACTTTACTGCACTGACTTGATGGCAGCAGATTTTGGCCTTAGATTAGACAAAACATAGTACAGAACAAATAAATGTACAGGAAGGACTGAAGCAGTTCCCAGTCACCTTTCAAACTCATATCTATTTAGTAGAAGATGACTTCTTCTAAGTTAGTACGCAACATAACGTAAAGCTTGGTCTTTGCCTGTTATTTATTTTTAGCAGATGATGAGAAAAGTGAGACTAGCAGACATCATGCAACCTGACACACAAATAAGCCCCTGAGAAAACCAAAGCTGGCAAACAAACAGCCCATGTACAGCATAAACACAAATTCTTCAGGAAAATGCAGGGTTTTTAACACCCTGAACTCACAGACATACTTTTGTTTATTGTGGGTTAGAGAATTTTGCAGAAAGTCTCTGGCATAGCCCATTAATGGCTTTGGAAGAAGCAGACTTGTACTAGAGACATCACAAAGCCAGACAGCAGAAGCTCAGATGATTTATAATTTCACAGCAACAACCAAATCAGATTTCTTGAATACAAATCACTGGGTTTTTTTATTTACTATTATTTCTAATAACATTTATTAGAAATAATGTTCCCTATGAAAAGATAATGAAATTCACTGACTGCCACATGGATGAAATCACAAATCTTTTCAAAACCACTCATGCAAAATCTGCACAAGTTCAGTGATGGTTAATGGTTCAGGAGGATCCCCAAAGGAGCATGCCAGAATTCTCCTGCACAAGACAGTAGAAATTGGGACTGCAGAGCTGAAAGCTGTAGAAAAACAGAAACTGAGTCATCCTCTATGTGTGAGGGCTGCAGCTACAGAAAATCCATGTTTCCTTTGCTCTTTCAGGTCCCAATTCCCTTGTCAAGTCATGTTGTGCTCAGGGCAGGATCTGAGAGTTAAAGTCAGTCAGTCACCCTGTTGTTTGACTTTTTATTTTCAGGCTGCTGTGAAAGGGTATAATTTAGAGCAAAGAATTTTGGATATGGTTCAGAGTACCTTTTGCTAAAACTTTGAATAATGGTAGAATAGCCTCACTAGAAATAACATCACAAGTTTTTTATAATTATTATTAAATGCCAAAGAATGAGAATTTTAGTCATATAAACACTTGATGTTTGAACTGACATCCTCTCCCAAGCTGTTGCATACAACTAAAACCAAGGGATAGCCTTTACAAGGGGAGAAGCAATTTAGGACATTAAAATGTCGTTTTAGTTGTCAGACATCTGTCTGGCCCCCTATGCAATACACCATTTGTACTTCCCATATTATAATAAAAATTATGTATATTGAGGTATTTAATAGGCAATCATATAGGAGAAAATATTTACTCCAGTAGCAGACTGGCAGCTTTCTCAGCAAGTTTCACAGACACAGAAATGGAGAGGAATGAAAGAGAGCGTTTTGCTTTCATGTAAAAGGTCATCAAATGTGCTGTTCAGTATCTCACTGGGAGTTTATTCAGCATCACCCTTTGTCCCTGAAACTATCACATCCCAAACCAGGAGTTGCTGAAGGCACAGCTGATTGATAAAATGTCAGCCAGGGATTCCTACATGGCATGGCTGGGCAGAACCTAGAGTGAGACACACACCATCAGCTAGAATCTGGACAGGGGACAGACTGAGAACTCAGAAAGTTGAGAGATGAAAAATATGCCAAGATTTCATTGTCCCTCTATCTCATCAGAGCAAACAGTTCTGAATTTGGCCACCAAACTTTGCCTCCTCAGTCACTTTGTCCATGCTGACCTGTTTTCCATGATTTGCCTGCTGTGCAACACCCTGCTCACACAGACAAGTCCTACAAGACAGACTTTTACTTTCCCTGACCCTGATCAGCAGAAATGCTCTGGCTATGACTAAGCCTTGTATTTGACATACAGGAAATGCATCTCCCATCTCCTTACAGCTGCCTGTGCATCTGTGCAGGGCTTTCCCTTACAGGCAAGCATTTCTTGCAAGAAGAACTCAGCTGAGGAACAAACAACACTGCATGCATGATGCTGGCTTTGGCATTTGGTAGCCATGGAGAATTGTTAGCACACTCTGTGTGTATTGCATGCTTTCAGAGGCAGATGAGATACTTCTGTGTGCCTGATCCTTCATACAAGCAAAGCGCAGGACAGTGTAACCAGGCAGTACTTTAATTCCCGGGACCCAAATTGCGTGTCTCAGCACTTCTGAACCTTTTCTGGAATTCAAATGCAAATCTAAATTGTAGCTTTCACTCCTAACTTCCCACCAAGCTGCAGTAAAACCCCAGATCTGAACAACATAAAACCTTAGTACATCCAGGTATGCTTCATCCATCCTGGCACTACAGAATTAGCACAACATAATTCACTGTATTTCTGAGTGAGACTTCAGAAGATTTGCTCACATGTGGCACTTGAGGCTGAACTTCATCCCAGGCCTGGCTAAAACCAGGAGAACTAGGAGGGCTAAAGGACCCCAATGCTTGAACAGACCTGCATCCTGCTGGTGTCTGCCTGTGGCTTGAGGAGGACGGGATCTGAGGATGACCACAAGCTGCTGTCTGCGTCATTGTGAAGCTGAGCACACGGCTGTGTGGCACAAAAGCCTCCAGGAGCCATGGCAGTTCTTGAATCAGATGGAGCCTTCCCTGGGGACTGGGCTTACTGCCCTGCCTCCAGTAAGCCTGCACCTTAAGAGTTTCATTGGTGAACTCAGCAGAATTCAATTTCTGCTGGATCTTATTGAGTTAAAGCAATCCCAAATGGCCTGAAATTTTTCAAACATTGTTTTTTCATCCTTAATTTTCAGACAGATGATAACAAAACTAGAAAGATGATATGATACCTCAAGTGAAGTGAACCAGCGGACAGAAAATACTAAGAACGTCTTTCCTCCTTTGCACTAGTGGAATTTGGCTCAGTCCTGCAAATCGTGCAGAGTCAATTAGATATGCAAATATGCATACTCGAAATTTGCATTTGCATTGCCATGCTTCTATTCATAGCCATGGCAATCAGGTGTTCTGGTGACCAGTTAGATTTTGAGTTGGCTCATTGTGCATAAAATCTCAGAAACTATCACAGAAAATGAAGCGTGCATTTTTGTGTATGTAGACATGGGCATGCAGTTCCAAAAGTCTGTGTCTGTATGACCTGCGAGTGTCTGCATGTTTGACTAGCTTGTGAGACTCAGTATGTCTCTGCCATCTGCAGCCATGCTTACTTTACCTATGAGCCTACAGTTTGAATTGCAGGAATATTTAGAATTTTGTGAAGGTGCAAGGAAAGCATTGCTGGTGCAATCATGTATCTATCTCATTTCCAGCATGCAAAATCTTCTATCTGCAATGGCAAACACAGTAGCCCACAGGCTGAGGCTACAAAAATTTAGTGTTTCGCAATTCCCATTAATTATTTTGCAGCCTTTTCTTTGAATATTTACTGTGAAGTCTAGCAACATTCTTATTTCTTATATCCATATGTCCAGACACCACAAAAGATTTTTAAAAAATGCCCACAGTTTGGTTACATTTCACTTTAGTCTAGAAATGCAGAGAGCTTATGTTTAGATTTCATCAAGAAAAGAGATAGCAAATGTCAAACAAATGTACCTGAAAGGAAATAAAACAAATAATTCAAAATACTTGTTTAAAAAGTTACAAAATATGACAGCATTAATGGCACTTAAAGCTATAAGCACTTAAAAGATTACCACCATATTTTTCTCAACTTCTTTTCCTAAATTACTTTTTACTTTTTTTTTTTCTGAGATTGTGACTGCAGCTTATGTCTAAACCCAAACCCAGCAAAAGGGGCAGAGAGCCCTGAGATTCTATGGTTGCCCTGGCCCTCATTTGAATAGCATATATGCTTTTATGTCTATTTTTAAAAATCCAGATTCAGCTACAGAGAACAGCAGTTTGCTGACATGCAAAAGCTATAGCTTTCCTTCTGTCTTCATAGTCTTACAGCATTAAAATTGAAGGTTTTTTTCAGTGGTAGAAAGTGTGAATGAGAAATTCTTTAAAAAAAAAACAGCTGGCCCACTGTTTCATACACCTAGCCAAATATCATTAAATTAATGTTTTTCTTCTTTTAAACAACATAGCACAAGATGTTGCATTTTCTTCATATGCACTTTCTTGCTGTGACTTTACATTGAATATTTCCTACACAAGAAAAAAAATCCATTTGTTTCTTTTCCTTTTTTTTTCCACTGGTTAAGATAAATACCCACAGAGTTTTTTCTGTTTTGTTTTGTTTTGTTTTGTTTTGTTTTGTTTTGTTTTTTTTAATGAAAAGAGCAATCCGACCCTTAAATATGTCTGTGTTGATTTTCCAAACCAGCACCCAGCTGGTGGCTGTGTGCATGGACATTCTTTTGGAGTTTAGAAAGATAATGCATCTGATTCAAAAATGGAAAAAAAAAATCTAGCTTGGATCACGTGCCAAAACGTAAACTAAGCCTTACTGAAAGTTTCTAGTTCACTCCAATCATTTCTCCTCTTTTTCATCACCAGGGGAAGGCTTTATGGATGCACACTCCATCACAAAGATACATGCTTTTTCATCCCTTTCAAAGGCTCTTCTTACATAGCTGCCCTTTGTCTAATATTATGCCGTGGTAGGAGCACTCTGGTGATATTGCCATGGTTCAATCTCTTCCTTTGTGTCTTGCCCTGGTAATCTTACACAGGCTGAAATTTCCATGTGTGTAGCTTTCTGTTGCCATTCTGCAGTGCTGTGTTCCTGATTTGTTTTGGCAGAGCAAGCTTGAGTCTTTATGGCACAGTGAAATATTCTTCGATGCTATATAATTCAGACTGAATAAGGAGTCTGTATAAGGCACGTGTCTCAATATATATATGTATATAAAAACACTAACATTGTTAATTCAAGTCAAGCATCTTTTACATTTAATTTCTGTCTTCAAGTAACGCTTTGTTTTCATGTTCCCTTTCTTTGGTTTCATTGGGGATCACTCCATTCTCCATGTCTGAGTGCTGCTGGATGCAGTTGGTCAGGACTGCAGTGCTAGAAGAGTGCTCAGAATTACACATCTTCTCCGTCTCCTCTTCCTTTTTTTCTTCATCCAAGGAGTAGTTTCGGAAGGTCTCGTAAATTTTACGTACATCCTCGGGGATGGTCTTTTTGAGGTCTTTGTTTTTCCTTTTGGTCATCTTAGCAGATGATCCAAACTTGTTAATGATGTTGTCCTCAGATGCCCCCTGCCCGTGCTTGTTGAGCTGATCTGACCCTTTAAGGCGCAGGTTGTTAGGCCTATTGTTGATGCTTTCCTGAGATGAGGCCTTGAAGCGTCCTGTTTCCAAGGCAGTAAAGACAGAGCGCTTCTCTGGAGAGAGCATGTCTAAGGAGTGGGCTCGCTGGTCCAGGCCCAGGCGCCTGCGCTCCATGCTCCGGATGGTGGCTGCCCGCTGAAGTTTGTCATGGATCTCCACGCTGAGCCGCCTCCGTGTCTCTCTGAACTCAGCCGTCACGTTCGCTTTCCACTCCGCTGCGTGGGCTTTTATTTCTCCAACCTTTACAACAACAAGAAAGAGAAATGAATGAAAAAAAAAGAAAAAGCAAAATGAAGCGACAGTCTTTCCTATAGAACAGCAGCACAAGCACTTTCTTCTCTGGCATAAAATTGGAGACCAGTCCCAGCTCCAGTGCATCCATCTGGACCCAAACTTCAGCAGTGAAGTGTTTATACTGGGCAAGCTCTAAACACACCAACTAGTGACTAGTTAATGGCTTATGTGGCATATATAATTGTCTGCCTGTTTCACATTTTGCCACCCCATACATTTTATAGCTGTGTTACATGATGGGAGGTGTTCATGCTAATCCCTCCTTGGTTACGAACAAAATTCCTGACTTTTAATATCTGCAGTAGATGGTCAGGAGAACTGATCACATATAGTTATATCAATATGCTTCAGAGCAGCACAACCAGTGTAGCAATACTGGATGGAGATGTTCAGTCCCGCTGAAGGTTCTGTTCAGTGCCACTGAGCCACTGAGCAATTAACGTTGGAAATATCTATTAGATAATTTCAAGTGGACCTCTGACTGATCCAGTCTAGGATCATAGGGACAAATGTAGCTGTCTTTAATGGAGGTTTCCACTGCATAATTGTCCAAATACACCACTCTCTCAAGCCAGCCGGAGGAATTTGCAACACATATTCTGTGAGGGCACCAAAAGCGTGTCCTTAAACATCTCACTGCTTTGCTCTGGTTTACTCCTTTGCACCTGAGAGCAGAATAATGGCTAAGAATAAAGCACCTACATGGCTGCTGTATTGAATAAATATTTCTTCCAAAACAAGAAAAAATGACCAAGCAATATCTCAGTCAACACAGGCCTTTTCCAAAGTTCAGCTAAAGGAAAACAGATTCAGGAGTACGATGTCTGCAAGAGCCCACCAAGGTCCATGGTTTGCTTGGGCTACTGTAGCCAGAACTCAATTTCTGCATTCAGTGATCCACAAGGAAGTAATCTTTGGTTCTCGGGCCACATGAGCAGGTGTCCATTTAGAACTGTATTACTTGTGGCAGCAGGTATCTCACATCCACCATGAGAGATCAGATTCCCACCTATAGGTGCCTGCTATGATCAACCCAACAGCCAAACTCTCTGTGAGGCACCCTTTATTAAATGGAGATGCACAGGTGATGCACCAGGCCTCAGGTAGTGCAGATGCCTTCATAAATGATAAACAGCACTACCCCTCTGCCAAACTTTGTCTATGCCTGCTCTTTAGCTAACCCTGCCAGGTTAGCTTTGCTAGTAATGCAGGAGGAGATTGCCTTAAAAACTGAAATTATGTTATTAACGTCCTCCACAATAGGCTTCAGCTCTAGAGTCATGGCAGTTGCCTTCTATTTTCCACCCGTATTTGACTGAAGCATTAGCAATACTGTCTTTGAATCAGAGAGAGCATGTTCTGAGTGAATTTAATCATGTTCTCCCTGATGCTGACTACTCAGTTTCTTCAATTTTTAATAATATGGTACTCAGTAAGGGGCCTGAATGTAAACCTTTATTCAGAACCACATTCCCTGGCATAGGGAAAGGTGGGAAAACTTAATATAAAATCCTGGTTTAAAGGCAGATTCTTGTTTCGTCGTGAAGAGAGCCAACTAATGTCTTCAAAACCCATGCATTTCCAATTTTTAAAGAGGGAACACTGAAATTTTTGTCACAATTTTGTAGCTAGTTTCAGAGTGAAGGATGGCCTCTCTTATTCCATAATTGCAATCCTACTGATGTGTTCTGTGTATTTGGCAGTACTGATAGAGGTGTAACAACCTGGGTTGCTTCTGTTGCTTTTTTCCTCCCTTTGTGAAGGAGCTAAAGATCAGAGCTAACTTGATACCAAAGGCAGCCAGTGGAGTAAACCACGGAGAATATTGAGCATTGGTCATGCAGAGGAACATCCTTCTTTAGACAAACAGGAATCAGGCACTTAAAGCTCTCTTATAAAATGATAAACCACTGAGGAATTACTAGTCATACCTCTTCTTTTGTCTTCTTGGACAGGACTCTTAACCAGTCTCCAATCATACTCAGGACAGCAGCAAAATAGGCAAGGCCAACAAGGATCCAGAACCACACTAAGGGTTTATACCACTCCCGGTAATGGATGTCAGCATTTCCTCCTGAAAAAAAGCATATACTTATGCTTAGGAATCATGAGATGCCAAAATTATGACAAAATATCTGCAATTATGAGAGATTCCTGAAAGTATTTCTTCACTCTTGCCAGCACCACTGTAGTTCCAATAATAGATGAGAGGCCTCTCAGATTGGAGGAACGCTGTCTTTTCTTAATTTAAGACTCTTCAAAATTACCTATTGTTCTGCTACTATGTGACCTGCCAGAGCACCTAGTAAACACTTTTCTTCATATTGCTCATACTCTGAAGCAAGTCTGAAATTCCTGCTTTGTTAATACTTGCAACAGCATGAACACATTTCCAAGAAGAAAGTTTAAGCACAGAATCATAGAATGCTTTAGGATGGAAGGGACCTTTAAAGGTCATCTAGTCCATCCCCCTAATGCAGCTAGTCTTCCTTATTCTGAATTGCCTGCAGCCTGGTAGTTGAGAAACTTTACAGTTCAACCCCTTCAGGTTATAGAGTTTCCAGATGTTTTTGGTTTTAGCTACAGGATTGAGAGATCTATATGCAGGAGAAAGAAAAGTAGCTTTTTCTTCCGCTCCAAATCAGGATATCTGACAGGAAGCCAACCATGCATCAGCCCTGATAATAAGGATATACTGTTTGCCTGGGTATCTGTTATAGGGGTGCATTCTCTGGCCAGTGACTTGAGAGGAGATATGGATCAAATGAAGCAACAAATATCCTATGTGGTCTTCATGCAAGTCTCTGGATGAGCTGGTAAAACAAGTGTGCAAGACATTTGGCAAATCTAATGGACTACTAAGAGACTAAAATAAGTGCAGCAGCAGCCAGGCTGCTGCCTACCACAGAACAGAATTAACTTCTCCAAAAGAAAGCAACCACAACCTCACTTTTGAGACTCCCAGTTCTATCACAGTGCTATGTGCACTGCAAGAATGAGAACCAGTGAGAGGCAGGCACAGCCCTGAGCTGAAGATAGCGAGTGGCAAAGAGTCTGCACAGCCCCATGGGCACAGCCATACCCCTCAATGCAGGTGAACAAACACCACCTTGGTGGTACCTGTGTAAGTCTCCACCTGAAGAGCAAGCATACCAGGGGACTCAGGCAGATGATTCTGTATTTCCTGGACTCCAGCCTTGGTTAGACAAGAGGTAGACACCAACGTGTACCTCTGTATGACTACAAAGAGATTTTAGGATTTTTCCCCATTAAAATCACCAGATAGCACAGTTCGGCATTTCCCCCCGAGCTTTTTCCAGTCCGAGACGTTCCTATGACTCTTCAATTTTATCCAGACTCAGCATGAGTGTACATACAGTGTTCAAACATCCCTGTGGAAGAGCAGACATTTGAGAACTGGCAGGGACCCAAATATTAGTTTTGATGTTAATCTCTCCCCATAGATCGCATGAATCACTCTCTTTTTTCCAGTCTTTAAGAGTGTGAAACAATGGGAGGTGGGGGGTGCTGTTGCTATGGTACAATGAGGCTCTGCTGATCATATGTGTCCCTGAGGAAGCTTGCTATGAAACAGATTGTCTAGGTCTATCTCACAGAGTAATCAGGTGACTGAGAAAGTATGAGACCACTTTTTTCAGCCTATCAGATATTCTGTTTTTTCAGGCTCCATCCACAATTGTATCTCCGACAGTAGTACAAAAACTTTCCCAGTTTCCCAGGAGCTGGGACACGTTCTAGGTGGAATAAAACAGCACAGCTCCATTTATGCTGTTTTACCTAATACGATGTAGTATTTTTGATTTGATGTTGAAGGGACAGAGATACTGAGAGATTAAAGTAACAGAAAATAAAAGTGACAGAAAATCTGTCTCAAAACCAGCAATAAACCTCAAATTTCCTGGTGATCACCTGCCTTAAACTCTTATCATGAGATTGCTTCTGAAGTTTTCTCATTCAGGGTCCTCCATTTGATTTTTGAAAAATCCTGGTTGTTAGTAGCCACCCAGCTGTGGATTATATTCTCCTAATAATGTTGGATACAGAACAATTTAACTTAATATTCAGAGCTTTTTTACTATTATATTATTAAAGAAAATAATACTGAAGTGTGATATGCTTAAGAAAAATATTGTGAATTATTTTTATTTCACACTGTGATACCACAAAGACAGAATATCAGTGAGCTTCTTTCACCTAAGTGGTTAAAATGGACCAAACTCATCCAATCACTTCTGTATCTGAATGCCCGTAAAACACTTCTTTTTCATATCTGGGGCTCTCTTTGTTCAGTACCTTTTTTCCCTCAATAATTCATGTCTTCTATACCACCATGTCATAAAAAAGGAGGATTAGTCTTCTCTACAAAAAGACTTGTCTGCAGCTCTTCAGCAAAGAAAACTTTATATATCCCTGTAGTTTCATTTGATGTTTTTAACTCATTCATATTACACTGATTTATAGGAAGTAACAAAACAGTAGCATAATATCGCTCTTTGTAACACAGGCATCTTAATGCCTGTAATTAGGACCACTAATAGGAATGAGGAGTAGAGGTCATGCACTAATGGGAAAAAAAAAATCCACTTATTTTAACCACGTTTTCGTTAGCAAAGCAGTTGTGTGGGAAAAAAAAAAAAAATCCCATCTCTCCAGCCAACAATCTTGACTCCGTCTTTGGAAATTGATAAGGATGGATATTTATAGTTCCTGCTAGTACTGTATTAATCTTGGAGAGTATCCTCCTAGCACTGAGATGAATACCCCATTAGTCCTTCTCTTCCTACATGAGTTTTCCTTAAGAGGGCAACTGCAATGTCAAAATTTCTGCCAAGGTTAGAGAACAAAATGCAGTTTCTGAAATGCTGCAGCACCTGTAGTAGCAGCCTGCTACTGCATCCAACCAGACATTTCTGAGCCCTATGGCTCAGCCCTACTTTGTAAAAGCTTCATCCATCCATCATTTTGGCTACTTGCTTCTGCAGTCAGCCTCAGATTGAGCCCTAATGGACTAATACAAATCTTGAATTCAATGGGAGAGTCATTGGACTTGTGCATAATTCATTGCACGATAAAGGATAATCAGGACCTCCCAGGCTCCCGTTATCTACACTGCTGAAAGCTTGCAATCTGCAGATGGCAAGGCACCTGGCTCTTAAATCAGCCTGGTGTCCTATTGCACAGTAACCCCAACAGAAACACCTGGCATCATTTCACTGGAATATAATACATTGTGAAAAGCCTCCTCTCTACACGAGAAAACAAATTCTAAGGGACAAGGCCCTGGTGCACAGCACCTAGGCTCAAAGCTGCTCACCTGCTACAAAGTCACCGAAGCCAACAGTAGTCAGAGTGACAACCACAAAGTAGATGGACTCCAAGGCTGTCCATCCCTCGATGTGCTTGAAGATAACTGCGGGAATGGTCACAAAGACAATGCAGCCTGCCAGGATGAAGAGGATGGTAGAGATCACCCGGATCTTTGTTTGACTCACTTGCTTCTTCTAGAAAAAGGAAACAACAAAAGAAAAAAATAAATTTTTCAGTGGATTTCTGGGACTGTATACCTTGTGAACAGCAGACTGATCATGCTGGTGTCACCTGGTATATCTCTTTCTGCCTTTTGTGAGCTTATTAGGTGGAATACAACCCTCCCTCTCTGTTGGTGAGAGCCCTGCCCAGGTAATACTGAACCTCTATGCCTGGCCCTAGAAAACCGTGATTCCCATTTTCCATGCACTAGGCAGTTACTAACCTACCAGAAACACGGCCTGCAAAAACAGTCCTGAGCTTCAGAAAGGCTCCAGTACACTCCAGTTCAGGTTCAAAGTGTAAGAAAACACGCACATTCACACCTCCATACATTTATATGTATATCCACATTGCCTCACCAGCACCAAGCACTCAACCAGCAAGATCAAGACTAAAATGAAAATAAACCCCTTTTTCCTCCTCTAAAAACCTGAATTTTTATGTAGAAATAATTCATGCTTTGGGTTTTCTAGACTCAGTATTTCCAGTTTTCATTCACAAATATGAAGGTTAAATCTCATTTTCAAAAATAGATAGCTATAATATCGGTTTACTCCAGAAATAAAGAATTTATGTCAAATACCAAACAACCTGAGATAAAATTACCTAAGTAAATCCACATTGGAAAGCTCCTGAACAAAGAGTATGTGTGTTACTGGCTGCTATAAACTGAAGACAAATATGAGCAGTGTACTTGCAACATTTTACACTCCTAGATCATATAAGCTCTCAATTTATTTAATATAAACTCAGATTTTGTTTCCAGTAATATTGATGCCTGAATTAACACAACTGATGCTGGCAGATTTTTTTCAGATTTTCTCTACTGTAAATAAACTCAAAATTCAATAGAGTTTCATGAGAAACCTGGAAGTTACTAGAAATCTTACTGTGAATTAATTACAGTGGCAGTGTAAATTCTGTATTTATTCTGGAAAAGCAATGTGGAGGTCGCTGTAAGCCACATATTTCCAAATTAGTTTTCCAAGTCAAGCATCTCCCTTAACCCAGAAATGAGATCTCATTTCAGATTAGGACATTGCCTAGACAGGAAATAAGGTCTCAGAAGTTATCTTTATAATATACAGAAGGGATACTGCCTGAACTGGTTAATATCTAACCAGCCTGTGAGCAGTACTACTGCTTCCACTAAAGCATGAACATTTCTTTTAGAGGTGCAATGTCAGACCCTCATTAGGCACTAATCCAATCTGGGAGGCTCTGCATTTAGAACCCAGGTAGCAGCATAAATATGCCATGCTTCATAAATACTTTCAGTTCTAAAACTGTTTGAGATGATCCCTACACTTTTTGTGTGTGTGTGTGTGTGCACATTGTTTTCTGTGTCTGGCTGAACAGAAATAGTTAAATAAGATTAGTAATATAATGCCATAAATAAGATTAATCAAATACAAGACATGGAAAAAACTGCCACTGAAGTACCAAGGAGAAAAACAACACATGAATATAAAACCTGACTTGACTTCTTATTTCCTCTTTTTCTGGAGAGTCATTTTGAGTAATTTGCGAAAATACTAAAGGATGACCTAGCTTCTTTAAGAAGTATGGACACACGTTCACAGTGGCAGGATTTCAGACTTACTGTAGGTGTGGTGAAGGGAAAGGAACTGATCACATGGATGTTGCATGGTGTCTTAGACTGGGACACTTGCTTTTTGTCATGAAGGATGAGGATTTAACCAACTTGTTTATTTACTAGTTTGGCCAAGGTGACTTGTTCACTTCTACTAAATGCTTCAGTTTCCTGATACGTAAAAATGAAATGACAGACACCTTGCTACAGTGGAAGTTAGGAGGCACATGCAGTGTTGTATAGTACTGGGAATCCTTGGACAAAAAGTACTTTGGAGCTGCCAAGCGCTACATAGTAAAGCAAAGTTATGCATAGTAATCCTTCCTCCAGTCCCCATACAGCAACATTAAAATGCATTTCAATATGTGTCAGGATTGTCTTCTCTCCTGGTAGAAACAGGAGTGGAAAGAATGGCCTGCAAATCAGTACCAAATGTTCAGGACATCACTTGTTCATGAGTGATGAATTCAGCCAAAGGTGGTTATTTTTTTTAAGTAAAAATGGTAACGATGTTAATGAGAGGATCTGCAGAAAGGCCTGACTCATGGTTATTGTGCACCTCAGTCACTTGCACAAAAGCGGAGCAGCTGAGGGTCTATTTTTTTCTTACTCTTCCATTGGTACAAATGAAGTCAGAAAGCAATGGTGAATCAGGCACAGCATTTTTAGAGCTACTGAAAAGAGCACAAAAGGAAGACTCAAGTAGAATTACTTAATGGACAATAATACATGAAATTCAGGATACAAGTGAAAAGGAGGGTCTTTTTACAGTTAGATGTGCATTCAGAGGACATTCACAGCAGAGTATAACTGCTATAGATCCAAAAAATGCTAAAGTATAAATGTCATTATTCATGGAATATGTACATTGTAGTAATCACACATTACAAAAACGTTGGTTTGCATGTTTTTTTTGGCAAATGGAGTTGGTCTTGCTATTTTACTACAAAGAACATAATTTTGTGCTGCCCAGGTTCTCAGGAATAAGGAAACACAGCCTTTACATTCCAGTTTTGGCACGGGTGTATTAAGATGAGACTAGATTTGCCTAAGCTACTGCAGTACGCACTATACCAACTCATTATTAAAATAAATAAATATATATATAAGTAACTATATATATAAGCTATATATATATATATCTATAACACTAAAGGTTGAGAAATCTGAAAAGGTTCATACAAACTTCTCTTTTAAATAGTATTTGCAATCTGGAGCCAAACACTGGCAAATAGCTGAGCAGCTCCAGCCAGGCTAGCATATCCTCTGAGCCCATTTTGTGGCATAAATACAGAATGTTCTATAGGTGTCAAAATGAAACAGTAAGAGAGGTCTTTCTCCAGGAAAAGTAGATCATCTCGTAGTGGTTTAAGTAAAATGAAAACACTTTTAAAACAGATGTTTTCTACTTCTTTTTCTTTTTTTTAGTTTTGTTTTACCAACAAGTTCTCTCCACATTGATTAAGCAGATAATTTGTAAGACATTCATCAAATATAAATAAATTAGTGCCTGCTAATGACAGACACTTCAATTTAAATCCACCTAGAGCTAATGTGGAAAAGATTAAGGGAGGAATCCAAGAAGAAAAGAAGAGAGAGGTTTCTGTGATATAACCACCTATGAGGGGTCATTTCCGTTTACTAATGAAGGTGCTGATTTTACTCTTAAGGAGGCCAAGTGCTAAACAGGCAACATCGCTGACATCATCTTGCTCATATTAATTCAAACAACCTACTGTCAACCTGATCTAGTGCCAAGAGGGGTGAGGACAGACATTCTTATGAAAACACCTTTATCAGTGGAATTTACTTCTTACACATCTTTTCCGTCAATAATTGTGATCTCGCTTTTTGCTTATTTTCTATTACATACATGGGGGTTATCAGTTTTGGTCTTATCCAATAATTTCAGGACTTAAAAGAAATCCCCCTTTTTTTTTTTTTTTCCTTTTCTCTTTTCTTTTCTCACTCTCTCTGGTCCTACAGATCAAAGCTGATGAACTGAATTCTTTTACAGCTCCTGCCCTTTTCAGGTGAATTAACTCAGGCACAATTTTCTGACCTGACTGTTGACAAGAGGGCCAAACAAGGTTCTTAAGTTCCCAAGCTGAGACCACAGGGATGATACGTATTCCTTTGAAAAGGGAGTAGGAGACATTAAGTATGAGATCAAAAGATGCTACAGCCATTTATCAGACTAGACTAAATGCTAAATATATGGAACATATATATTTCCACAAACAGCATATTTCAAATATGCTTATTCCAAGATTTTGTAGTGTCACCTCCCATGTCACAGAAACTCCCCCAATATACAGTACTACTCAACCAAAAATAGCACTGGAACATTTGCTGCTTCACAGTGAGCTCAGATGGTTCCTCTGTCTTCCAAACATTTTCTTTTCTGAATTCCTGACAAATATCCCCAAGACTCCAAGCAAGTTGTTTACCTTTTTGGCTAGATGACCAATGTCATATTTTTAGTGCTAGTATGATGTGCCTACATGGAACATGCTGTCCTCATCTCCCTGCAAGGCTCTGCATTTTGGAGCACTCCTCCAAAGAAAACACATTTCTTTCTTTAACATTTCTTTTGTCCCTTTCACCTACTCTTAACTTTATGCCCTCACCCATGCTGCCAATTATTCTTGGAACAGATTGACTCTACCCGTGCACTAATTAAACAGCTCGTCATCTAAATCGCTTTCTCCAGATCAAATATTTTAACAAGAGGAAAACCAGTCTTTTTACTCAAAGCATGAAACAGAATATCACATATATCGGTTCCATTTTTTTCTCTGCCACAAACATTAGGTATGTCCTTAGTCAAAACATTTTTGCTAGGCTAGTGTAGACAGTGCAGATAGTCATAGGTTCACACTGCTTGCCTTTCAGCTCAGTCAAAAGCAAGCCAGGCATGTAACATGTGATGCCCATCTCAACAAGCTGTACGGAAAGACTGGCACAGCACTGGGCTCACAGAGCTCCTTGGTGATCAGCGGTATGGTGGCATCAACCTCACTGCTGCCTATGCCTGTCACTGTGGATTTCTTTCTAACTTGTCCTAGCTCCTTCACACTCAAAATGAGACTGAAACTAAATGTATTTTAAATATCACTGGCTTAGAGATAACATCTAAGAACAATATAACAATCTTTTGTTCTTCTGTGCTCTCTGAACACAGCCGGTTCCAGCCAGCTCCAACGGACCCGCTGCAGGACACTGCTGAGCCCCTCAGAGAAGATGGTGACACCTCTGGGAAAGTGTATCTAAGAAAGTGCATAAATGCTGGACAGACAGAAGAGGAGGGAATAGAGGAGGGAATGAGGAAATAACAAGGTCAGGGGAGTGGGAGGTGCTCCATGGCAGAGCAGGTAC